TAGTGCCAGCAAGGCATCACGTGGATATTTTTTGTAATGATGCTTATCCAACTCTCTGCATCTTTGCAAACTCCAGGTTATAATATCCAGATCAGTCCATGCCTTCCTCTGCTTGACTGCTGTGTTAGGAGATATCAGAGTGTCCTCATATGAAAATAGTCTACCAGGGTGGTTGAATTGCAGTGGACAGATTCACTTTGTTCTTGCAAATTAGGTAGCTGGTGAGGGATATAATTATAATCATACAATTCCTTGAGGGTGATGGGAAATACTGATGTAAACACTTTGTCCAGATACCATTAATAAATGATGTTCAAATCAGGTTAGAGATGGACATCCTTCAGTCTGATAGCAATTCTTTCCTTGATCGTTTCCATGTTTGAATGACAACTGGGCATTACAGGAGATCTCAGAGATGATATTTTGTTTCACTGGTCTCGTTGAATTTTCTTCTTCCTTTCAGGGGAGCATTTCCAGCATCAGATCAGAAGCTTGAAAAGATGCTCAAGTTGTATTATAAAAGGGTGGGGAAATAGCAGAAATGGAGAAAAAAAAAAACCCCTGCTTGGCCAGGAAATGGTGATGTTGTCACTCTTCAATAAGGTTCTGCTTCTGTTCAAAAATTGCTGAAAACTCAGCTTCTGTCATCACCCAAATAGTTCATCATTACCAATTTCAATATTGTGATGCATGTTGGTGTGAATCTAGCAACTCATGTCAGATATCCTCAGGTTGCTTCCCAGACATAGAATATACATTTCACAAGAGGTGGTTGTCTATCATGTACAAGAGAAATTCCCCAGGCCCTCCCTCTATTCTGGGATTAGAAAGTTGAGCCTTTTAAAAAGACAAAGGCAGGACTGGAACAGGAAACTGAGAAAGATGTGAACCAAGTCTGGGTAAACCATGAAACTAGGATGGTTCCATACAACCCCTGATTAAAATTTGGGCTTGCTTCTGGGGAAGAAATGGCAGACTGAAGACCAACAACTATAGTGGAATGAAGAGCTGGTGAGTAGACCAGCTCTTTGAAATTCCTCTCCGGATAAGGAGAGGACTTGAGATCACCCACAAGTGCTCTAGATAGTTGCTCCTCGCAAGGAGACTGCAAAATAGTGCTCTGGCAGGATTAGAGCTCTGGGAGATGAAAGAAGTATTAAATACAAGTTTAAGAACTTTAAAAAAATGTTTTTTGAATAAACAGAAAAAGAGTGATTAAAACTTTGATTTTAGAAAGTTATAAC